ACTACTCTGTGGTCCAGATGCAAGTTGAATTAAATCCCTTTTTGGTTTTGCTCAGACAGTAGTAGTGTAACTAAGGGGGAGTGAGAAGGTCACCAGCCTTCTGGTCTAATATAGACTCTGCTCAGCACCTCCCACACATACACTTAGCACTGTCCCCCTGCACTCTGCAGGATTCAGCACATACCACCTCCCCCATGCCCGCATGCACTGTGCTCTCAGGCATTTCTGTCTAGGACACCTCTGAAAGGCAGGGTCTGATTACCCAAGGTAAGTTTTTTCATTAAAGTGCCTTTTCCCTTATGCTTCAGCCCTAGATCATAACCTCACCTTGTCTGACTTTGCAGATTTGCATATTGTTACCACACTACAATGTTAAAAACACCACACTACCAAGGGGCAAACTACAATTGCCTGAAATTCCTCCGTGCTAACATGATCACCCTGACAATGAAAAATGAGAGCTAATTTAGGTAACAATGTTTAGGAAGCTTGACTCAGTCTGTGACAGCATCCTTTTTTGGGGGAGGGGAGATATTTTACACCCCAAACTCTTGTCTTTACAGCCACAAACACTTGATAGATGTTAGGGCTGTGGGAAACTGCACCGTTCTGCTTCGATGTCTGCTTCGACATTTCAGGGGGACAGTGTTTCATTTCAAGTTTAGTTTTGTTTTGAAAGCATGGTTCCATTTTGTTTCATCAAAACAGTTTTACTGTTTCAACACTGTTGCCAGCTGGTAAGTAGGGGGCGGGGAAGGGGAGGCTGGAGGGAGGGGAGGGGACCATGGGGGGATCCCTGCCAGGCCCCATCCCCTGCCTGCCCCCTTGCAAGAAGGGTTGCCGGGGGGAGCCAGCCAGGCCCTTGCTGCCTGAAGCCTCATGGCCATATGTGCACTCTGGTGGCTCCTTCTGCTGCCAGGAGGTCAGAGGCTGCTGGGGAAGGGCCTGTCAGGCTCGAAGGGCAGTGCAGGGGGCAACTGGAGCTGGTGGTGGCAGCATGAGCAGGTAGGGACATGGCCCAGGACATGAAAAGCCCAGGGAGGTGGTGTGGAACTTGCATCACATGCCAGAGGCTTGAGGCAGCAAAGGCCTGGCTGCCCCTGCCCCCCCGCCACGGGCAGCCCAGGGGTTGCCACCACCCCAGGGGGAAGACCCAGCCCCCAGCCACCCTGCACGGGCCCAGCGGCAACGCAGGCCCCAGCCCCAGGGCAAATGGGGAGGCTGCACCAGGAGCCAGAGCAGAGCTGCAGCTGCTTTTCTGCTTCAGAAGCTCCTGCAGCTTCCAGGAGGCCAGGGGCCCTGGGGAAGACCTGGCCAGCCCTGGAGGCAGTTCAGGGGGCCACCTGAGGCTGCTGAAGGTGGCACATGGCCCAGGACATGGGAAGCCAAGAGATGCAGTGCGGAAGTTGCATCCTGTACCTCAGGCTTTGGATGGCAATGGCCTGGCTGCCCCTCCCATGGGTGTTCTCGGTGGGTGCTGCCACCCCAAGGGAAAGCCCGCCCCTCCCCACCCACAAGGGGCCCAGAAGACTGGCAGCAGCTTGCCCCCCGGCCCCAGAACAGCCAGGAGGCTGTGCCAGAAGCCAAAGCACAGCCGCAGCTGTTTCTTCGCTCCAAAAGCTCCTGTGGCCTCCCTGAGCTTCTCGTGCCCTGGGCCAGGACCCTGCAAGGTCGTGCCACCACCAGCAGCCTTGGGAGGCAATGCACGCTGCCCCCGAGGCTGGCAAGGAGCTTCCCAGGGCCCCTGGTGGCCACAGGAGCTTCTGGAGCAGAAAAGCAACTGTGGCTCTGCTCCCGGCACAGCCTTCCCCCCAGGGTGGCAGCACCCAATGGAGCCTCCTGTAGGGGGAGCAGCCAGGCCATTACTGCCCCAACCCTCAGGCGTGGGATGCAAGTTCTGTGTCACCTCCCCACGCCCCAGGCCAAGTCAACACTAGCTTGTGCTGCCCCCAGTGGCCCCAGGCACCCCCATGCTGCCCCCAGGGCTGGACAGGGTGGTTGGGAGCCAGTGACAGCCAGGCAGTGCCCCAGGACCAGTGCTGGCAGGGCCCAAAGCAGGGTGGCAGGAGCCCAGGGCGCAGCTGGCTGGGCTGCCCCAGCAGGGAGAGAGGGGAGCCACCCCCCTCTGGGCCCCACCAGCGCTGGCTCCCGCGCACCCCCTCACTCCCAGCCCCCCGTCCCAGCCCCATGGTCAGGGGGGACCAGCATATGCAGTCCCGATACCCTCTTACCTGAGCTTCCCGCTCTGGCACAGTGTGGAACAGCCCCATGGTACCTCCAGCTGGGGGGGCATGGGGCAGGGTGCTGTTCCAGGGGCCTGCTGTGGCTTCCCCTGAGTCCTAATGCTCCTGGCTCCTGTCACTTTTGACAGGAACCAGAGGCAAATAAATATTATTTTTTAAAAATCTTCTAGGGGCCCCATGGGCCAGACAGAATGGCCTGGTGGGCTGCATCTGGCCTGCAGGCCATATTTTGTCCACCCCTGTGTTAACAGCTAATACACTAAGATGATGTCATAAGCATGCATGCTGTAAAGGCCTTGCAGTACATCTTCACATGAAGTACTGAGAATTTTTTTCAACCTAGACAAATTCCCGTGTAGGAGGAAATGATCAGCATTGGGACTATGTGTCTAATGAAATTAAACAGTATGAATTAGTCTGTTAAGAATAATTAAACTGCTTGTTGCCTACTTTTTTGGTAGTCTTTACAGTATGGTTTTATACCTCTACTGAATAAATGAACAAACAACAAAAATAATACCCTTCAGACTCCTACAGCATCATTTATCTGATGGTCTCTAGGTCTATGGCAAACATCAGTTATGCCTAATAATTTACCTGAGAAGTAAGGAATGTCTTTTCTCCAGGGGGAAAAAAAAAACAAAAAAAACAAGGCAAGGAAAATACAGTAAATGAAACCCATTTCTAGAATCCAGGAATATGGATTCCCAGACCCTCACTTCAGCTTGTAGGAAAATCTGTACCTCCATGGAAAAACAAACCAAAAAAACAATGCTGAAAAATGGGGCATTTGTATATCAATTATAGAAGTCCTGTGTTTCTGTGAATTCCTCCACTAAGTAGGATTACAAAGGCTCAAATACAGCAGGAAGATTTTTTTTAAAGGGTCGTATCACCTACACAGTTACCTTCACTGTTTAATTCTTCCTACATAGTTTAGTCAGCTGTGTTCCTCAACAAATCAGTCTGAAATGCAAAGTCCACATGCCCAGAAAGCTTTGTAATATTAATGCTGGACAAAGCCCTTAATTTTTAACTGATTAAAGGATCTTTATTTCTTCATCAAGACCTCAGTTCTGGTATGCTTATTCTCTACAAGTAGGATGGACTTTACTCCACAAGCAACCCAAGGTAAGTTTGGAAGAACTGCAGCCCAGGTGAGCCAGGCTGAAATAATGACAAACTTCAGGCCAGAATGGCAGGTTTATCAACTGAGTCTGACAAAACAAAGGCCTTTTACTGTATACAGCAAATCAATAACATTTGCACTTAGACATTCAAAAGACCTGTTTATATGTAACATGTCTTGGGAAACTGAACAAGTACATAATATCGTAAAATTACACTTTGGAGCGTGTACACGGTCAAGTTAATAGCATTTAATTCCCTTTCGCTTGAAATATCTGGAGTGGAGAAAAAGATCATTGCCAAGCCATAACTTTAAAATACAAATTGATCAACCTATATACTATAAAAGCCAAAACTGCTATTGTGAATAGCATTCACCAACATACATTTCTGACACACATTAGGTGCTCAACAGCTGCTAAATGCTGACAATCCAAGATGGAATGTCTAAACATTTGCCAATGTTGCCTTCAAACTCTTGGATCTGGGCATTTTTACATACATACTATCTAGGCGTTTCTACTAGGGGACACATTCACAATCAATCCTTATTTTTCACACTACTTAACCGACTTAGTATACTCAAATTTCATTATGGTTTTTCACTTTTGAGAGTCTGAAGAGAGACCCAAGGAAGAGTAGTGCAGTACCCCAAAGCTTGTCTAAGTCTATGCCAACCCTGCCATTGATCCAATAAAAGATATCACCCACAAAAAGCCTTGCCTCTTGCATACTTCCTGGACCATCTCAACTACATTACTTCAGCACCACCAAATTATGGTTTTCCATTTCAGAGTGTGGAAACCTCAGGTAAGCAAAGGAACCATTTAAAGTACCCTGAGATTTTCTATTGACGACTAATACAGACGATGTTACAGGTTCCCAAACCGGGCAGTAAAAACCTCAGAGCTGCCAAGTTCAGCTAAACAGCTACCAGACAGTATTTATGCTTGGGGCCAGCAGATTTACGCAGACATTTGATTCCACACTGCACTCAAACCTCTTCTGTAAACAGTGAGCAAAAAAAGCTGACGGGCAGTCTTCAGACAGCAAAAATGACAGAATAGGGATCTTTTCCTTCACTTTAGATAAGATTATTAGTAATCTAGAATGCAGCCTCTAACACCATACTAGGCTTTTCTAAAGCCTTTACTGAAAACAGCTGAAGTGGTGAAAACTTGTGCGATTAATCTGTCACAATTCTTGGCTCCTTGGCACAAATGTTAAGGAAACAGTGATCTAACAGACGAAACAAGAAGCTTTTAAAAATCTCTCTCATATTTTATTTACCACTGCATGAAAGTGGAAGCCACAAAGCTTGGTCAGTGGGTGACTGGAAGGACCTGGGTACAATCCCAAGGGTGGGCAGTAGATTCCCACTCATCATTTCCACTTCCAGCACAGTGCTGAGGCCCACCCAGTCTCCTATCCAATGCGTACCAGGAGCTACCTGGCAGCAAAGTCAGCTAGAGTCTAGTGCTAACTACATCATCTCCTCCTCATGCTGAGGTTAAAGAAACAGTGGAGCTTTTTCTCCAATGGGCCTCAATGGCCTGTAAATGGGAAACCTTTAACTTTACAGCAAGAAATATGAGGAATACGAGTTGAAGGTTTATGAGATATGCTTACCTTCCAGCAGATCTCTTGCCAAGCCCGGTTCTGCCCCTGTGGATCGAACAAAGTCTGACAGGACTGCATCCATATCAAGAGTCATGTGATCATGTAGAAGTGCTGCCAGACATGCAGCAGTAGTTGAACTTATTGGTTGGCTACAAGACATCCATCTATGAAGAAGACAAAATAAATAAGAGTAATGAATCATTTTGGATATGTTTGTTTATCTCACTATGCTATAAATGATGAAAACCAAACATTTTTTTCCTCAAACAAAATCACCCAATTTATATATTTGTCTAAAAAATAAAACAAAACCAGTAAGGTCTAACTTACTTTGTTGATAGATTCACTGTATGCTTATAAAAGTACTATACTATTGGCACTTACAATTCATCTCTGCCCTAGCCTGGCACAAACTGTGCCAATGAGCAACTGCTCTGGTAACCAACTCTAATCCTTCAAATCTCTACAATTTCCTTTTCTTCAGTATTTGTTGGGGTTTAAAATATTATTTTAGTAAGTTTTTTTTTTTTTTTTTTCGCAGAAAAGCAATTGTAAAGTAAAACCTCTTTAACCAGGCCGGCTATGTACAGACAGACAAACAGCCCAAGGCTGAACTGATTCAATTTCTGCAGGTTAGTCTAAGCGTCATAGATTGAACTAAAAAGCAGTAAACAAACATTCACTTTTGATTTTGGCAATGCAGCCACCTGCTTGCAGTGGCCCAGGCCAGAAGCTGGGGGTACTAGAGCACGCCTCCCTGCTCAGCTGGAGCAGACAGTTTAGGCCAAGGCTAGCTTGCCCACCCTTTGAGGGGGAGCTTGTGGGAGAGGTGCAAAGCATCCTGGGATGCTGGGGGACTGAGTTAAATTTGAATCTAGAGGGAATTAAGGACAGAGCAATAACTGATTTAACTTAAATCAGCTAAAGCTCATACTACAACCATCCAGGCTTATCTTAAACTGGTTTTGGCCATTTTGAAAGTAGTTTATGCGCACTGAATTTCTGTTGCGTTACAGATATGAACCAGTTTACGATTACTTATACCAGTTTATGTGCAATGTGTGTCCCTGGACAAGGTGTCAAAAGATTTCAATCCAGCAGAGCATGGATGTGCATCTTTAAGCACAAGAATTATCCCAATGATTATCCCCATACTTCAACTTGAAAGTATATTTAAAGGTTCTGCTGGACCAGGGCCATACTGCATAACCTTTACATTCATATATTTGCAACATAAACATTTGCATATTAGTGCTTGGCATTTGTACCCTCCTTTATCTTATCAGCAGCTACATTAATGCATATGATATTGCTATTTTCCTTGCCTTGGCAATGTACTTGATGGGGAATCTGTGTTTTCTCTCTTCTGTATTGAACTAAAGTGGTCTTCCTGCTGCGAGCTCTGTAAATCATGATCATCATCATCAACTTGTTTTATCTCTTTTGTTTGAGAGGATGCATCAATCAGCCTTCCAAAAAAATGCCAGAATGCATCCCTTTTAACTACAGCAGTGATGACCAGCACAACAAGAGGAATGACACCAAAGGCAACTCCTAATCCAACTCCCAGACTGTTGCCAAACATGCTATTACAAGGACGAAAGTATCTGTTCTTCCCAACTCCTCTATCCCTTGAGCTGGCAACCAAGAAGGACCCACCCAGAACTCACAATGACAGTTTATGTCATTGTTACACACTCTTTGTATCATCACAATCAATGACACATCTTATTTATACAAAACTTGTCAGAACCATACAAAGCACCACCTTTCACTTAGCATCAGGATTTTTCCTCCCTGCATCCCAACATAATTAAGGGGCACTAAACACATTTTCAAGGTAACACTGTACTTAGCTTAAGGAAGCCATTCTTATCTGGCTGATCTTTATAAATACTTTCCTGATCTCCCAACTGGTAAGGAATATTTCAAATATAAATCTATGCACTGCAATATTCTGCACATCATACCAACCACTTAAAAATGTAGAACAAAATAGCTTATATTTGCTAAATAAGTCCAATTATATTTCTGAATAAAGTCATTTTCAGCCAAACAATGAATTATACTGTCCTGATATTTGTCATATTTGAAAGTATATCTCATATATTCTCAGTATACTTCTACAGGGATTATTCCTGCTGCTGAATTTTCACTGAAAAGGTATTATGCATTTTATCTAAGTAAATTATAAAAAACTGTAAAGCACTACCATGGAAACAGTGCGAAATCCTGATTTTATTGATGTCGGGGGGGGGGGAAGCATTTTGTCCACACATTCTCCTCGATTGAGATATAATTATGGATCCAACTAATAAAATAAAAACACATGCATATTTTAGTAAGTGAAATAAACAAAGTTCTTTACCTAAAGGTCAATGGCCACCTATTTTACACTCAGCTAATTATTATTGCTTAATATCAAATTAATCATAACTGGCTATTATTTCTTCATATCAAATTAATGCAAACTTTCTGTTACAAAAATCTTCCTGAAGGGGTAGGAAGTCTGGTTTCCTTTGCTTGATTGCTTCCTTTCCTTTCCATTATTTCTTCCTTCTAAGGCAAAATGATGCACAGTGTGTTCAGCAGCTTACTGTAGGTTGCTTGTACCATCCAGTTGCTGAGAAAAGCAACAATCACACCAGTATGTGACAATGACTCATGGCCTCTGAACCAGCATGTAGCAGCTAACAGAACCACAGTCACAGCTGATGAAATGCAAATATATTCTTGTTTTTGTACAGATAATAGATTTTTTTATTCTATGTGCAATTTGCAATTAAATCTTCCACAAGTAAAAAAAAAAAAACAAAACAAAAAACCAAACAAACTTTGTTTGAAAAATACTTCAGAATCACATAGGCCTAGTGTGCTCTAAATAGACACTTAGGAAACAAAATGGAAGGGATTTTAATTTTCTGAGAACCACAATTTCTATTTAATAGTGTCAAAACAAAGGTACTATGGAGATGCACTGCACTGTGTACCCCATCTCAGGCAACTCCTGAAAGTCATGATGTTGCTATGTTTATGTGCAATCATAAGATACTTTATTTTTTGTTGTTGCTTTACATTTATTGCTGACTAGTAAGGTGGCCTTACAGTATAAGCACCAGTTGAATAATATTTCCCACCCCCCCATGTCATTAATTAAGCCACTAGAAACTCTCTCTCTACCACATTTACCACATAAAACCCTTCGGATCTAACAAAAAGCAAATATGGTCTTGCCCCAAATGATATATAGTAAGCACCGTTGCTATAGGAAATTTTCTTACAAAGTCAATAGGTAACAGAAAATTGTGTACCTTATGGGATCTGGTTCCTGAACAAGTACAAGCTAATCTATTTCTACAGACAGCTCTCCATACAGTTCCAAAAAGAAAACGTTATGGTTTATGACCAAATCAACCTTTTAAAGGGATTTGCCAGCCTTTGGTAATTGTTAAGAAATTATAACAAATCAGAAAGAAGATGTACAAGTTAAATAGTAGCTAGTATAAACAAGTTGTATTTTCATTCAGTGTATCCTTCATTGCCAAGAAAATTAAAGCTAGCCTTTAATAAACCTAAATTTTATTTTTTCACTTAAATTCTTATCTTTGGCTCAATTCTGACTTTGACCAGAGTGAAAAACAGTATTTTATTGTACTAAACTAAGAGTAGACTTTATGTGGCTCTTGGTTTCACCCGGGCTTATAAAAAGGGAGCAAACAATACAAGGTCTACAGCCGAGTTCCCAGCATGACTGGGCTTTGCCCAGGCTCTCCCCTGTGCCATTTCCACCTGCACAAAAGGAGGTGCAATAGCTCTAAAGAACTGTCATACTGGGTTGTGGGAACCCGAGTCAAGGGCCACATGGGGACTGCGGTGCCACCCAGAGTCACAAGTGAGCAGAATCCAGGTACAGCCAGAGCAGGAAGTAAAGAGGTCAGTCTGAGAGGAGGGTCTAGGAAGAAGCCGAGTCAGGAAGCTGAAGATCAAGCAGAGAGCAGAGTTGGAGCACGAGCCAAAAGGAAGAGCAAAGCAGTCTAGGATCAGGTTGAGCCCAGTTGCCTGGATGCTTCTGCTTCCAAGGTCGGGGTTTATGTAGGCTGACTCCAGTTCCAGTGAGCTGGGGAGGGCTAGGCCCTGCTGTGGGCTTCAAGACAGCCATGTGAAGCCTGGTGACCAGATGTAGGGTAGCAGGCTGGCATGAGCAGCCATTCTGGCCAGGCTGAGGACCCAGATTCAAGGCTGACAGGAATCCTCTTTCCCCCTCATGCTGTTGCCCCTGCTGTGAGTAGCTAGTGCTGCAATATGTAGTACAGCAGATCCTCATATGCCTTCTTACTAGTCAGGTCACACTTTGGCTATGAACATACACACAAGCTGCACCCCACTGATTGTATAACAACATGCGCACATGTTTGTTGCTACACAAACACAAGAGTTGCAGTTCTCTGAAATGTACTGTAACAGCTGTTGCTCAGCAAGATATTACTACAAGGTTAAGACTTTGTTAAAAGAAGCCCTCAATGAAAAACAGATTTTCAGAAAGTAACCCTTATACAAAGAAAGGATATTTATTATTAATCATAAAACAAAACATCTCTTGCTTTCCTATGTGAAGTATAAAGATTTTTTACTAGCAAACAGGACAACTACTCCATGAAGATCCTTGGAAAACTAACCAATTCAAAACTGTACAGGTCTGGGATGAAGCCAAGCCAAGCAAGACCTGTATGGTATAAAATTAGTTCTTTTGGGAGATATTGAAGTTCATATTTATTCACATTGTGATATCAGGCTGCATTTCAGAAATATTAAAGAACCACTTCCAGGTCACAACTTTAAGTACAAGTGGACAAGAGAAGCTACAACATTTTAAGAACTTCATGTAGATCACACAATTAACAGAAGAAAATAGCTGACAAGACTTACAGGGCCAGTTACACGTGGAATGCAGGCACTTCACAAGAGACCGTTATCTTTATCAATCATGGCTAAATTTGGCCCTAGGGCCACAGTTTGAAATCTTACCTATCTGGTAGCTAACATTATCCCCCCCCACCCCAGCCTGCTTTAAACATGATGTTCAAAGGAGGCAGAAAAATGTTGCTTCCAAAACTTTCCAGACTCACTTCTTAAGCAGCTGCACAAAAAAATCTGTCACAAATAA